TCTAATAGTTCCTTTTTTATACTCTCTTAAAAGCTATCAACTTTCCTCTAGGGTGTACCATTGTCCATTTCTTGAAGTCATTGTCTTACCCTTTTCATTTATCCTTAGTACTACTTGTGCAGAATTTTGATGGGTTAGAGTAAAGAGAAGAGAGAAAACGTGGGGATATTTGAGGTAGGGTGTAGGAGTCTTCAATTACCGTGTACCTTGGGTTGATACTTGCAAGCAACACTCTTAAATGAGTGTACTTACTTGTAAAGGGTAATAATGTGAATAGGTGGTTGGAAGACTTTACCACTCCAAGAGAAAAGAGAAAAGAGATAGACCCTTAGGAGTTGACTTTGGCATTCAAAGCTTGTTTTAGACACATTTAAAGTTGATTGTATGTACTAGCTCTTAAATGGGTGTAGTGTGACAAAAATGATCTTTTGGGTTTTTATGGGGCTAAGTCTCGAGATATACTCACATATACACACTTCATGTTCAATTTATTTTGTTATATTTTCTTGTCATCTAATAATAAAGTTCATTATTATTATATAATATAATTTCTTAGACTTAGATGTTTTTCTAAATAAAACTCTTTCACTATACAAACATAATTGTATATATCTTATTGATTTTATTAGCATATAACTAGCCTCATTCCAATAATAATCTATATTAAATGTTTCTTATTGTTAAAAATATATACTTATTTTTATAAGAACAACGTACATTAAGTCCTCCGTCAAAATTAGTTACGGTTGTTGATCGAGGGATATCGACCTAATTTTTACAATTGTTACATAAAATTTCCTCTACCTTAACATAATAATCACCTCCTTGGCTACTAACACACAATCCGCTATTGGTTGTTGATTTGTTCAGAGACTATGAGCTTCTGTGTGAAACTTGTAACCACTGACAAAGTATACACTATATAATTTCACTTTTTTGAATGACATTTTGGATAGGTCAGATATAGACTTGTTGTTTATCAGGATCTTACGTGCTTATATGAATAATGGTAAAACACTTAATTAGAGATAATTATAACCATAACAAAAAATAATAAATTTAAAAAAAATACAAAAATAACACCCACACAGTTTTGAAACCATAATGCAAAGTTCTTCTCAACTTCAGTTGCAAGGACCTATTCATCCATATCCCCTATAAGTTCATTCAAATGTTCTTCAAATATTATGTATCACCATTTCAATAACATTTTAAAGTAACTATGGATGTAATAAACAAAAGCATGCATGTAAATGTTATTCGATCATAGCAATTACATAACAAATGATTATTATAATTAAAAGTGATGCATATGTTACGTACGAACTTGATGTAATGCTTGATCTTATCTTCGTTAAGGATTATGCAAGATTGGGTAGCATGAACTTCCTCATCAAACATCATTCTATTTGTGAATCTTCCATAATGACGCCCAGGATATGAAAATATATCTAACATGTCATTGTTAGCGTCCACTTGCTGATCTCCTCTTCCATCATCATTTCGAGGCAACTTTCTATTACGTGTTGGGACACCAACCTCGAAATAATGAGAGAAAAATATTGACGCTTCACGTAGCAAGTACGCATTAACAACAGACCCTTCCACTCGAGCTTTATTTTTCACATCTTTTTTCAACTGATTTAGATGCCTATAGTGAAGATTGTTTAAATTAGCTTACAGAAATAGCAACATACATTACGATGTACCATACAAACCTTTCAAATGGATACATCCACCGATATTGGACATGATCGACTATCTTCACTTCATATGGAAAATGTACTGGTAAATGTTCCATGGAGTTAAAAATACCAGGGAAAAAGATGGTCTATAATTTACATAATATTATTGGGATCTCTGTTTCAATCCTTTCCATGTCTTTTGTTGTGATTGATGTTGTTGTTAATGTTTTGAAGAAAATACTCAACTCTGTTAAAGCTTCCCATACTTGTTGTGGCAACATCTCATGAAATGTAATTGGCATTAATCTTTGCATAAAAACATGACAATCGTGGTTTTTCATTCCAAACAGTCTACACCCTTTTAAATCAACACACCTCCCCGAATTAGAAACATAACCATCGGGGAAACACAATTTCTCCACCCATTGGCATATGAATTTCTTTTGATTCTTGTCCAGAGTGTAGTATGCTCTTTCATTTTCTTCGACTCCTTTTCTCTTCCTACAATAGAGCTTCAGATCTCTTCTAGCTGCTACATTGTCCTTCGTCTTCCCCTTGACATCCATTACAGTGTAAAAAAAAATCAAATACATTTTTAACAATATGCATAACATCAACAATATGTCTAATGAGGTTTTTTTTTCCAATATGGTAAATCCCAAAATATGGTTTTCTTTTTCCAACCATGATCGCCACATCTTTTGTTTACATCATCAGCATTTAGTTCAGTCACTTTTACCAAACCTAATTGTTCAATCTCCCTTAAAGTTTGTTCACCATTCTTACTTAGAGGAGGACCTTCTATCACTTGACGATTCTTCCTGAACTTATTTTTATCCTTTCTATATGGGTGATTTACCTGTAGAAATCTTCTATGGAAGTCAAACCATGACATCTTATTACCTTTCTCTAGTCTGAATGCTTGTGTATGTTTCCCATAGTGTGCACATGCTAGCTTACCTGTTGTAGACCATCCGGACAACATTACATATGCTGGAAAATCACTTATTGTCCACATCAAAGCGGCTATTAAATGAAAATTTTGTTTTAAAGATATATCATATGTTACTACGCCTTCCTCCCATAATTGCTCCAACTCTGCAACAACTGGTTGCAAAAATACATCTATTTTATGCTTAGGGTTTGACAGTCCTGGCACAAGTGCTGTAAAAAACATGTAAGGCTCTTTCATGCACATAGAAGGTGGTAAATTATAAGGTGTTATAATAATAGGCCAAGATGAATATTTTTTCCAAATGCTCCATGTGGTGCAAACCCATCTGTACTTAGGCCTAATCTTACGTTACGTACTTCTGCTGCAAATGAAGGATGACTTTTGTCAAAGTGCTTCCAAGCTTCTGAATTCGATGGATGACACATTACTCCAGCATCATATCCATGATTCTCGGAGTGCCGTCACATGGAAACGGATGTGGCTTGTGAAGCATACAGTCTCTTCAACCTTGGAGTCAATGGAAAGTAATGCATTTTCTTGAAGGATACGCAAGAACATCTGGCCAAAATTTTTGACCGTTTGTACCTATCTGCATTGCAGAATTTGCACCGATAAAGATCTTTGTCTTGCCTTCAATATATCATACATCCAGATCTGCAACAGTCAATCATCTCCACAGGGAAACCTAGTTTTTGTATTAACTTTTTGCTCTCGTATAAACTACCTACCATATTATTCTCCTCCGGTAACACATCATTTATCAACTCGAAGATAGCATCATAACTTTGTTCAGGTATGCGATACTCTGATTTTATATTCAATAATCTAGCTACAACAGATAGTTGTGTCACTTTTTTACATCTAGGCCAGAATTCTTTATCGACTGCATCTAGCATATCAAAGAATTTTTTATCTAGTGCATTTGGCTCCTCTCAAGGATCACTATTATCTAAATCAAGAGCCATTGCATCTATGACCATCTCTATAACAACATGCACCTTCACTAAAATTTGTGTTTGATTCATCCACCCCTTAAAACGTATTGTCTTCATCAATTGATTTTTCCCCATGTTTATCCCCACACCAATATTCCTCAACAAAACCAAACTTGTACAAATGAGTCTTAACAGTATCAACTTCTGTATATGGTATGTTACGACATTTTATGTATGGGCATTTGATTTTATTTTCGTCCATGAAGCTATGTTGACTGGTAGCAAAATATATAAAATTTTTCACTCCTTGTACGAAAACATGCGATATACAACTACTACTATCTTTTCTTTCATACACCCACTTTCTACATGGATTGTTCATTGTCTTAAATCTGTAAAGTATAAATGTAAATAACACAATATTAATTATATGTTCATTAATGTTGATTTGAATTCATATATGACATTTGAATTAAATATATAGTTACCATACAAACATCATAAAGGTACCTTCATAAAGACCCGTTTCACAAAGCTAATGACCGAATGATGAACAAATCTTCAAAGCTTTCTAATTTGAATGGTTGAACAACTTTTGTAATTGGATAATGGCTTAGAATATTAGTAGAATGCTTTAATTGAGACCGACACTTGCAGAACACATATTCAAATAGAGTGTGTATCGATTAGGGAACCTTCGACAACCCTTGATTTCAATGTGTTGGATGGATACTTGGTCATATTATTGGGTCAATATTATTCAATAATATGTTAAAACCCATGTAGTATACGGGTAATTATAAATTTAAATAACATTCATAATAAATATAAAAATATAGATCTACTTAAAATATAAATTCTATATATATAGCATTTTTCTTAATAATGACTTGATTAAACAAATTTTTTTATTTCCATAATAAAAATGCCGCCTTCACTTTATAAATTGCAAATAGACCAAAGTGCCCTTGAAATCTAACCAAATAGGTCACAATGAACTTTTGGTTAGTAAAATGGAAAAGACAAAAATAACATACATATCAAAAGTAACATATATATACATACATATCAAAAGTAACACCAAAATACACATACAATATGCATCACTAATTGTGTGAATCAAACAACTATCATATATACAACTACCCAAAACTAATGTCAAACATCCTAGAAAACTTAACAAAACATGCATCCCACAAACAAATGTCACAATTCAGCAACCAACTGTATTTATTCATAAAAGTTATTCCATAACTGCTTACTGAAGGATGCTCTGCACAACTTCTATGTAAGCCATGGAATTTTATTTGCTTTGACCGTCTTACCAAGTGGTTTTGAACCTTGTTACATGTATGCCTTAGATTCCAAGTCTTTCTACTATTAACGTAGGCATTATTTAACATGATCAGAGCTTCTTGCTTACTTTCAATGCCTTCGGCCATCAACATCATTCCCAAGACGGAGATCGCATCTAACTGCCCCTGGTCGGCTGCATTTTGAAGCAACTGTTTCCCTGCTATTTCTTCCCCTAATGTAAAATACTTCATCTGACTTAAAAATAAGTAATCATACAATTTTAAAAATACAAATATAGAAAACTAATTGAATTCTCAATAATCCGATTGGTTAAAAAAAGATTACCATTCCATCGTTGAAGAGTACGTGTGGGTTGTTCAACATTCTGCGCTCTGCTTATGACTTCATACTGTCGAATACTTAAGGGACGAAACCTTAATCAATTTGTGTCTATGATTTTATATATTGCATCTGATGTTACAGAATCCCTAAATAGTTTGCAACTATAATTCACAAAAATCAACAATGTTAATCTATTAACCACTAAATTAAATATGTATATAAGTATAATATAAGTAATACATATCATACTTACACTAACTGGCACTTAAAAACATCGATTGGTGAATTTCCTCCGATTGCAGTTACTATTTTTTCGATCAAGTGTGATGGCAAAACAGTAATTCTTGTTCCTTGTTGTCTTGTTTGCATTCTTTCTGATGAACAAATCGCTGCCATTATGTTGAACTGTGTTGAATGTATTCAAATTATATAACAACAACGAGTTTAGGGTTTATTGATCAACGTGCCAGAATTTTGACTGTTGGGGATGGAATGTAGATGATCAATCGTCGATAAACTGAATCTACGACATGAATTTGACTACAAATTATGGCGCCTAAATATGTAGATTGTGAATTGACATAATTGTCCTTTAAATAACAAAGATTACTACGTAAATGGTTAGGGTATTTTTGTAAATACCTACGGGTATTTTTGTAAATAAATTAACATTTTAAATTTAAAAAGATGAAGTTAAATAAAATTATTGATTAAAGTTATAAAGATTTAAATAAAATTAATGACATAAGTAGGATTCTAACCTCCGACTTCAAGTGGAAAGTAAGACGCGTTTGCCAGCTAAACCAAATTAACTTCAATGTCTTCTGATTGAATGGACACCATAAGCCACTACCATGTGGACTAATGGCCTATATGTCATCCATGCACACCATAAGCCACTACCATGTTGACCAATAACCCATATGTCATCCATATGTGAACCATGGACACCATAAGCCATTACCATGTGGACCAATCAACCATATGTCATCCATGGACACCATAAGTCAATACCATGTGGACAATGGCCCATATGTCATCCATGCACACGATAAGCCACTACTATGTTGACTAATGGCCCATATGTCATCCATATGTCAACCATGGACACCATAAGCCATTACCATGTGGATCAATAAACTGTATGTCATCCATGGACACCATAAGCCACTACCATGTGGACCAATGGCCCATATGTCATCCATGCACACCATAAGCCACTAGCATGTTGACCAATGGCCCATATGTCATCCATATGTCAACCATGGACATCATAAGCCATTACTATGTGGACCAATCAACCATATGTCATCAATAGACACCATAAGCCATTACCATGTGGACCAATGACACATATGTCACCCATGCACACCATAAGCCACTACCATGTCGACCAATGACCCATATGTCATCCATGGACACCATAAGCCACTACCATATATATTGATATGACTCGTACATCTTTTGTATATAAATTTTGGTTTAAACAGAAAAGCATAAAGATGTATAGTTTATTAATGTTTAGTCATCGTATATAATTTTAAGTTAAAATTATACTATGAACACATCGTTAGTCTATGTTCTTCCTTGACGTTATTTATATGTATATACCCTATCTATCAATCTGTAACTACTTTAAATAAATTTGAATTACTAAATATTTAGCGGTAATTCGCATAATTCGATTTTTTTATTAGCGGAGGTTCAAAGTATTTCACAATTCGTTTCCTTCCAACCCACACACGTTTATGATGCATATTAGAGTAATTAAGTTTACCGATTTGAAATAGGGTTTACATTTTCTGTAATCATCATCTCCGACGGCTTATTGATTGAAATATATGTTCGTTATACGTTTGTGGACTGACTTTGGCGATATAGGTTGTCACTCATCTGAAATTTATATTTATTTAATTTAGTGTTGTCGCGATGATCGATCATTTTTTGTTCTCTGATCATCTTCATGTAAATTGGTTTTTATTGTATTCAATAGTTTGCATGTAATAATGCCTTCATATATAATTTATTTTTATTGTTTGTGTCAGAAAGATGTCGACCTCGAAAGAAAAAGGAGCATCCGCTGTGAAGGAAACTAAATTCATTGCACCACAAGTTATGAAACGCAACAGGATTTTTGCTGCAAAATTCGTAAACAGATAGTTACAAGATGAAGAAATCGACTTCCCAATACCAACAACCACATCCAAATCGATTGAGAAGTAGCGGTCAGAGTTCACCTTCTTCTGGGTTTCTAGATAAGTTAGCACATGTTCATATCAAATTTCTTGCAAGTATTACTTCTACTTTGCGTTTTTTTGCTCAATTGATTTATTTTCTCTATTGAAATTCTTTTTCATATGTTTTGCTTGCTGTTTTACAGGTTGTATTTTTTTTTTGCTGCCCTATTTTGCATTTTTCATGTACTTCATGTTTCTATTGCTCGATTGGAATACATCTAATTACACGAGTTCATTGAAGGTACTACTTTCATATGTACCTTGTGGAACATTGATATGCATACAACCTGTTTGTTTAAATGCCTAAGCGAGGGTACAGTGGCCATGACATCTTTATTAGTATTGTTATGATTTATTTGTATTAATATTGTTATGATTTATCTGTATTAGGTGGTTGCTATTAGTTTGATTACGTTTACATTCCTGCTACATGCTAATTGTATTTTATTTGTATTTGGCTCATTTGTAAAGGTGATTCCGATGATTAACAGTACAATGGAGCTATGTTATATTTCGGAAAAAAATGATGAATTAGAAGAATTGAGAGAGTTTCCAAGTAAACAAAAAGAGGAAAATGAAGAACTTATGGAAATAATGAAAGCCAAAGATCAACAACACAAGACAAAACGCAAGCAGCTTGAATGACAACTACAATCGGCAAAGAAAATTGTTAAGGCTTTTAAAGAACTGCACAAATAGTAGATAATAGAGTGTTGATTTGTTTATCGCAAAGTATTAATTTTAGATTAATCGCTTTTCATTTTCCGTGTAATACATATTTATTGTTTTATTTTATGATATAAATGCTATTTGATTTTTTTATTTTTGTTTATATATATATATATATATATATATATATATATATATATATATATATATATATATATATATTATTACAAAATAATTAAGATTTAATTTGTAAATTAATTATCCATTCGTAGCTATCCAACTTTGCAACGAAAAGATTTCTACGTTATTTTCGTTGGAATCTGCTATGGAATATAAACTATGGATTTTGTTAGGGATTCATTACAATGGATTTAGCTAGAGATTTATCACTACGGATTTTGCTAAGGATTCATCACAACGTATTTAGCTAGGGATTCATCATAACGGATTTGGCTAGGGATTCATCACCACAAATTTAGTTAGGGATCCATCACTACGGATTTAGCTAGGGATTCATCACCATGGATTTTGCTAGGGATTCATCACCACGGATTTTGCTAGGGATTAACTACAACGAAATTTGTGACAGAAGAACTACCATAGAATTTGTGATGGAAACCTACTACGGAATACCATCTACCACGGATTTCATTCCGTTGTCACAATTGCGACGAAATTATCATTTCCGTTGCAAACCCCTCGCTACAACGTTTTTAGGGACGAAAATAGGTCGTTGCAAATTCCGTCGCTATTCATCTTTTGCGACGAAATTTCAGCTTTTCGCAACAGATTCCTTTAGTAGCAAAATCGCGTTTTTCTTGTAGTGTTTTTGGTCACATTTAGTCACCTAACTTTTAAAATTATGCTTATTTAGTAACTAAACTTTTAAAATTGTGCTCATTTAATTCTTTCTCTTTAGCTTTATACCCTAATAAGGCCACTTCAATTCGAGTTCTCCAACTTGGGAGCAATTTAGGTGTTTCTCCTTCCGGGAAGTAAGTTTTTTCTATTAAAATTAAAATTTTTATTATTGCTATTAGCCTATTATTGACAGATGGCTTATCTTACTTCATTTTTTTTTACCTTTTAGGTTTGTTTTCTACATTTCAGTTTTATGTGATAATGCCATTGAAGGAAAAAAGTCTCTACAAGCAGCCATTGATGGCCTTTTCTCACTTCACAATGATGAAACTTGTAACATCCGGATTTTTACCAGGTATAATGTAAGTTTAATTGTATTATTTTGTAAGAGGGACTCGGCGAGTCAGGGCTCAGACTCGCCGAGTAGGTGCGCGGGATTGAGCGAAGGTGCGCGCTTGGACTCGGCGAGTCCAGGGTATGGACTCGGCGAGTCTGCGCTGTGTTATGGAACCCTAAATCCCCGGATTTGTGGCCTATTTAAGGGGCCTTATGGCCGTCATTTGCGCTCATCCAACCCCCAGAGTGTGTCCCTAGAGTTCTTGAGCGTTTGGTGAAGGATTGAGAGCAAATCTTGACCTTGTGAGTGTTGTTTAGCAAGAAGAAGGAGGCTCTAGGCAAGAGGAGGCAAAGGAGGTTGCTATTTCGTGGATTTGGAGCTTGGATCATCACTTTAAAGGTAATATTTTCGGACCATTTTCTGTTTGGTGAAACTTGATGCAAGTTAGGGCTTAATATGATCATTTATGGGGTGATTTGGTGCCCTTTTGTTCCCTCTTTGAGTTGAGACCATGGATCTGGATCCATAGAGGTCCAGAGGGCCTCACTCATCAAGCTTTATGGGTGGAAATGGAGTCCTTGGCCTTGTGTTGAAGTAGTAGAGTCAAAAAACATCATTTGTGATCATGTAGAGGTTATTTATGCATCAAGATTGTGACTTTACGTGCTAAATAAGCATGGGGGGACTGGATCTATGGATTAGTGGACTGGATCTGGCCTTTAGAGCGAGATTGAGTCAGTGCATGGCTCTGACTCGCCGAGTCCGAAGAACAGACTCGGCGAGTAGCTTGAATGCTGCACGACCACTCAGCGAGTGGCCTCGCCGAGCTGGGATGAGTGAACTCAGTGGGTCAAGGGGAGTCAGGATGGACAGGTGGACCGAGTCAAACCGGACTCGCCGAGTCGTTCTTGAGACTCGGCGAGTTGAGTCGTGGTGGCCCCACAACTCGTGCCAGGTGGAGCTCGTCGAGTTGGGAAGGGATGCTCGACGTGTCAAGAGAGGATTCCAGGGAAATTGGTGATTTCGCTCAGACTCGCCGAGTCGCTGTAGTGCACTCGCCGAGTCCGGTCAAGTTGACCGTTGACCAGCGTTGACCTAGATTGTCCTGTTATGGTATGGTCAACCCTAGTTGGGAAAGTGTTAATTAGAGATATATTGTGCTATAGGGGGACTTCAGCTCGGCAGATCGAGTGTTTAGCGATTTCAGGGTTACGGTTTACCGAGACACACGAGGTGAGTCTTCTCACTATACTTTACCTTGAGTAGGTAACCAGAGTTATGTGATAGAGTAA